CCCACGTTTCCTTATTTTCTTCCAAAACAAAACTTTTTCTACTCCTCCAATATTAGAGATAAGAAAGGATATTGTTAATATTAAAGAACTGAAGAACTTCTGATTTACTTAAGCTCTTCCAAAGAGAAGAATTTATCTAACTGAACTTATAGGCTCAGAATTTAGATCACTCTGCCCAGCAGAGAGTGGGTTTTTGTTTTTTTGATGGAGTCTCGCTCTGTTGCCTACGCTGGAGTGCAGTGGCACCATCTTGGCTCACTGCAACCTCCACCTCCTGGATTCAAGCAATTCTCCTATCTCAGCCTCCCGAGTAGCTGGGATTACAGGCAAACGCCACAATACCCAGCTGATTTTTTTTATTTTTAGTATAGATGGGGTTTCAACATATCGGTCAGGCTAGTCTCAAACTCCTGACCTCAGGTGATCCGTCCACCTTAGCCTCCCAAAGTGCTGGGATTACAGGTGTGAATCACCGTGCCCAGCCCCAGAGTAGGTATTAATGTGTATTTACTGACTGATCAATTGTTTAAATGTGAGTTACTTTATCAAAAAGAGGAGGGAAAACCTATTTCTGATGCTTATTAATTAAACATTTTTAAGGCAGTTAGGGTAGGCTTAACTTTAGATATCACTAAAATGACCAAAAAATTCTTCTGATATAAAATAAAAATAAGAATATTCCTCCTTCTCCTTCTTCCCAGCAACTCCATTCATTGAGGACACATATTCCTGCAAGAAGCTACCTGCCTCAGGCCTTAATTTATTTCACTTAATATTAAGAAAAGGCAAATCTCAGACAGTTTTCAAATAGAAGAACCCAAAAAAGTGGGGGGCAGAAATAGAAAAACAACCAAGTACAAATATTTGCTAACTATGATGCTGAAAAGCTACTCCTTTTTAGTTATGACCTACTTAATCTATAATTCCTCTAAGAGTCCTGGTAGAGCTCTTGCCATTTACAGAAGACTCAGAACACTTGCGAAGCTAGACCTGAGATCCACTGCTAGAAACTGAATTTAAAATAAAATATGTGCCTCTTAAATAATAGAATTCATCCAAATTTAACCCATTAAGAATTCTAGAGAGAGATCCAAGATGGCGGACTAGCAGCAGCTCAGGGTTGCAGCTCCCAGTGAAGGCGCAGGGGCTGAGTGGACGCCAGACTTCCAGACGAATTTTTGTTGCCTACAGACCAGGAGATTCCCAGCAGTGGAGCCCTGCAGGTCGCCAGCGCGACTCTTTTCGCCGGCGTGGCTGTTTTGCCAGCGTCCCAGTGGGGCAGTTCTCAGTGCGGAGTATGCGGGACTGGGTGCCCTTTTGGTTGGCGTTTGGAGGTCCAGGAAGGCACAGTTGCCCATTCAGCTGATTGAAAGGGGGACTGAAGCCGGGAGCCAGACCGGGAGATTCTCAGGCAGAAAAGCACCAGCGCGGTCCCCGGCACCTTTTCCGCAGGCGACTGGGGCACCTTGGAGAGAATCAACCATTCAATTCGGCAAAGAAAAAAAGGGGGCTCCGAGGCAGGAAGCCAGGTGATCGGGGTCGACTGGTCCCACCCCCACAAAAAAAACAGCAATTGGAAACACTGACAGTTGAGAGTTTCACGGCAAACACAGCTAAACCCAGGAAGGTCCAGCTCTGTGGGGGAGAGGCATCTGCCGAAGGAAAACAAAGAAACAGAAATAACATCACCACCAACAAGCTGGACGTCCACTCAGAGACCCAATCTGAAAGTCAGCAAATACAAAGATGACAAGTGGATAAATCCACAAAGATGGGAAGAAACCAGCGCAAAAAGGCCAAAAACATCCAAAATCAGAATGCCTCTCCTCTTTCAGGGGATGGCAGCTCCTCATCAGCAAGGGGACAAGGCCTGATGGAGAATGAGTGTGATGAATTGTCAGAATAAGGCTTCAGAAGGTGGATAATAAGAAACTTCTATGAGCTAAAAGAACATGTTCTAACCCAATGTAAAGAAACTAAGAACCTTGAAAAAAGGTTTGACGAAATGCTAACAAGAATAGACAATTTAGAGAGGAATATAAGTGAACTAATGGAGCTGAAAAACACAATACGAGAACTTCGCGAAGTATGCACAAGTTTTAGCAGTCGAATTGATCAAGCAGAAGAAAGGATATCAGAGGTTGAAGACCAACTCAATGAAATAAAATGAGAAGACAAGATTAAAAAAAAAAAGGGTAAAAAGGAATGAGCAAAGTCTCCAAGAAATATGGGACTATGTGAAAAGACCTAATCTATGTTTGATAGGTGTACCTGAATGTGACGAAGAGAATGAATCCAAGCTGGAAAATATTCTTCAGAATATTATTCAGGAAAATTTTCCCAACCTAGAAAGGCGGGACAATATTCAACTCCAGGTAATACAGAGAACACTACAAAGATACTCCTCAAGAAGAGCAACCCCAAGGCACATAATCGTCAGATTCACCAGGGTTGAAATGATGGAGAAAATGCTAAGGGCAGCTAGAGAGAAAGGTCAGGTCACCCACAAAGGAAAGCCTATCAGACTCACAGCAGATCTCTCAGCAGAAACCCTACAAGCCAGAAGAGAGTGGGGTCTGATATTCACCATCCTTAAAGGAAAGAACTTTCAACCTAGAATTTCATATCCAGCCAAACTAAGCTTCATAAGTAAAGGAAAAATAAAATCTTCTGTGAACAAGCAAGTACTCAGAGTTTTCATCACCACCAGGCCTGCTTTACAAGAGCTTCTGAAAGACGCACTACACATATAAAGGAACAACCAGTATCAGCCATTCCAAAAATATACCGAAAGGTAAAGAGCATCAACATAATGAAGAATCTACATCAACTAATGGGCAAAACAGCCAGCTAGCATCAAATGGCAGTATTAAACTCACATATATTATTATTAATCCTAAATTTAAATCGACTAAATGCCCCAATCAAGACACAGACAGGCAAATTGGACAAAAAGCCAAAACCCATTGGTATGCTGCATCCAGACCCATCTCACATGCAATGATACATAAAGACTCAAAACAAAGGGATGGAGGAAGATTTACCAACCAAATGGAGAGCAAAAAAATAAATAAATAAAAAGCAGGAGTTGCTATTCTCGCCTCTGATAAAATAGACTTTAAAGCAACAAAGATCAAAAGAGGCAAAGAAGGACATTACATAATGGTAAAAGGATCAATGCAACAAGAGCTAACAATCCTAAATATATATGCACTCAATACAGGAGTACCCAGATACATAAGGCAAGTTCTTAATGACTTATAAAGAGACTTAGACTCCCACACAATAATAGTGGGAGACTTTAACATCACATTGTCAATATTAGACAGATCAACGAGACAGAAAATTAACAAGGATATCCAGGACTTGAACTCAGACCCAGAACAAGTAAACTTAATAAACATTTATAGAACTCTCCACCCCAAATCCACAAAACATACATTTTTATCAGTACCACGTCACACCTACTCTAAAAGTGACTACATAATTGGAAGTAAATCACTCCTCAGTAATTGCATAGCATTTCACAGGTTTAAATGAAATATTGGTTGGCTGCTTGTTTGTTATTTTCCTCCCTTATTCCTTCCTGTCTCCATTGTTAAGCACAATTATTGACATAAAAGAGATTTTCAATACCCATTTTTAGACTGCATTCTAGCCTGGGCAATAAAGCAAGACTCCCGTTCTCCTGTTCTCTCTCCCTCTTTCTCTTCCTCTTAAAAAAAAAAAAAAAGAATTCTAAAACTAATATATACTAAAATTAAACCATAAGTAATAAAGAACTATGCATATATTAAGTGATCCTTCTAATAGCCTTAGTAAGAAGAAAACACAGGTAACATTATCTTCATTTTATAGATAAGACAACTGAGGTTTAAGAAGATAAAAAGTGACTTGTCTAGGTTTACAAAGCTAGTTAAATGGCATGGTCAAGACTGAACCTTAGGAGTTTTCTGACTCAAGTCCCTTCATAGCAAACCAAAATAAGCTTTCATAAACGGCCCAAAAGGCATCACAAAAATCTCAGAGGAAAATTTAATCACTAGAGCAGTTTTTTACAAAACAAAATCCTAAAATGGACACTAACAGAAAGAATTATTATGTGTTTCATACATTTAAAAACTGCATATAATGTGTATGTAAAGTATACTTAATAAATAAATATGAATACTGTTGTGACCGCCTCCTTAATTACATCTTTTTTGTTAAGGAAAAATTTTAAAGCCATTGTTTTATCATAGCTCTATTTCCTTAGTGTTCCCCAGATGTAACTTTACTAGTAAAACATGGTAAATATGAGTATGTTGTAGGTATATACAGTGCAGGCTCTTGGGCCCCAACACAGAGATTTTAATGCATTAAGTTCACGCTCCACACTTTAACAAGCATTCCAGGTAATTCTGATTGGCCAAATTTCTAATACTGCCCCAATAGAATTCCTAGAGGAAACGCAGTTCAAGAAAACATAAGAAATTAAAATCCAGGGACAAAGACTATTTATTAATCACCCCTAACCATGAAGCCAGAAAAAAAACAAACAGGCTGGGGACCTATTCCATTCAACATAGTCTCCAAACTTAGCTGCCCTTGCCTCAACTTATCAGAAAAGCTGGTCTCCTCCTCATACCATGCTATGGGATAGATGTAAATCCAAAGGGTTTCCATTTTAATATTCCTGCTTTCTTAGCTTGAGTCTACTACAACTCAATAAACAAATCCCAAAGCACAAGTATAAGATTGTGATGAATATTTTAGTTGTAACTTTCCCAAAATACTATGCTAGACAGGGAACGGGTTTGGAGTTTGGGAGGAATGGGGACAGGGAAATATCTGACCTACTGGGAGAAGTCAGCTGGCCTGCTGGCTTCCCTAGCTCAGACAGGAGCACACAGAAAGAAATATTCCCAAGCGGGCCTCCTCCACGTGATTTTGGGAAATGTTCCCAAGAGGGGTTCCTAAGTAGGAGATCATGGTCATAATGGTAATAAATATCTACTTACAAGCTGCCTCTTCTTGGAAGGCTCAACTCCTTCTGAAAAACAAAACATACGCAAGTTAGAAATAAGAACCCATCTGAGTCCTGTTGTTCTACCTAAATTTCTTAGGAAATCCACAGCATTATCTTAATAATGGAAAAGGCCATATATTTCTAAATAATAACTTTGTCTCTTAAATTTTTGTGAAATAAATAGGACTCAGGAAACTATTAACTCTATTCTTCCTTCCTAAAAAGAATGTCCCATAGAATATGTGCAACATTTTTCCCACTAGATGGAACCATCTCCCCAGTGTAGATTAAAGGCACTCTAGGCCAGCCGTTAACTGCTGTTAAATTTTAAAGGGCATAGTGACAAGCATACAGAAGGAATGAAATGGGATTAGGGGCAGTGGGCAATAATTAGAAAATATTTTAGACAAATAAAGTAGTATAGGAAATAATATAATAAAGAGATGACTCCACACACCACTGGCATAAAAAATAACCTTTACAATAACCGTTGGGGCCCCTGTGACTTGTTTTCCAAGTGTATCAAGTCCCACCACCCGCAGGTCCTAAATTAACATTCTTAATTTGTTTTTTATATTTTCCACATGTGTTTCAGGATTCATAAAAAATTAGTATTGTTGCCGGGCGCGGTGGCTCACGCCTGTAATCCCAGCACTTTGGGAGGCAGAGGCTGGTGGATAATGAGGTCAAGAGATCGACACCATCATGGTCAACATGGCGAAACCCAGTCTCTACTAAAAATGCAAAAATTAGCTGGGCATGGTGGCGCACGCCTGTAGTCCCAGCTACTCAGGAGGCTGAGGCAGGAGAATTGCTTGAACCCAGGAGACGGAGGTTGTGGTGAGCCGGGATCGCGCCATTGCACTCCAGCCTGGGTAACAAGAGCAAAACTCTGTCTCAGAAAAAAAAAAAAAAAATCGTATTGTTTTACATGTTTTAAAATTGTGTATACATGGTATTATATTATATGTATTCCTCTGCTGACATCAGCCAACATTATGAAAACTGGGAGATTCACGCAAGCGGATATATTTCACTTCAGTTAATTAATCTTTAGATGGTGATCCAGTCTATGAATATATCAATATTTATCTATTCTCTAGTAAATGGAAATTTAATTTTCTTTCCATCTTTTTTTCTCCATTAAAACAATATTCCTGTAAACATTCTGGTAGTTGTTTCCTAGTAGTGCGCATGTAGAAAAAGCTTCCTGGATGTTGAACTACTGAGTCATAAAGTATTGGATATTCCAAATTGCTCTCCAAAATGACTGTACCAATTCACCCTCCCCCTCCAACACTTAAAAAAAAAAACTTTATAGAGACAGCATCTCACTATGTTGCAAAGGCTGGTCTCAAATTTCTGGGCTCAAGCAATCCTCCAGCCTCAGCCTCCTAAAATGCTAGGATTATAGGCGTTAGCCAGGGCACCCAGCCCACCTCCAATACTTTGTGTTGTTCTTCCCAAACCTGTCTCTCAAATTCCAAACACTTATAACCAGCTGTCTGTTCAACATCTCAAAACCGGCATGTCCAAAACTGAACTAAACTGTCCTTTCCACCAAAACTTACTCTACTCACTGCCTTTCTTCATCTCAGATGATCATTACTCTGGCTGTTGAGACCAAAGCTCTGGACAGCTAGACTTCTTTTTGTATAGCCCATATTCCCATTCATCAGGAATACTTAATTGCTCTAAATTCAAAATCCATCCAGAATCCAACCATTTTTCACTATCTTCAGACATGCTTCTGATCTCAATCTTTTTCTCCCCCCTCACCTTTTTTTTTTTCTGAGACAGGATCTTGCTCTAGCATCCATCCAGCCTGGAGTGCAGTGGTGCGAACTCAGATCACTGCAAGGCCTCTTGGGCTCAATTGATCCTCTACCTCTACCTTCCAAGTAGCTGGGACTACAGGCACACATCACCATGCCTGGCTAGTTTTTGTATTGTTTGTAGAGATGAGGTTTCACCATGCTGGCCAGGCTGGTCAACTCAGACTCCAAGGCTCAAGCTATCCGCCCCCTCAGCCTCCCAAAGTGCTGGGATTACAGACGTGAGCCACCTGACCCGGTTCCAATTTCTTAAACAAAAACCCTTGTCATGTTTCAGAAATTGAAATGTCTGGAGGGTTTTATTAAAGTAATATTGCGGGCCAGGTGCAGTGCTCATGCCTATAATCCCAGCACTTTTGGAGGCCAAGGCACACAGATCACCTGAGGTCAGTAGTTTGAGACTAGCATGGCCAACATGGTAAAACTCTGTCTCTACCAAAAACACAAAAATTAACCAGGTACGGTGGTGCACACCTGTAACTCCAGCTACCTGGGAGGCTGAGGCAGAAGAATCACTTGAACCCAGGAGGCAGAGGTGCAGTCAGCCAAGATCACACCACTGCACTCCAGACTGGGCAACAGAGCGAGGCTCCATCTCAAAAATAAATAAATAAATAAAGTAATAGTATATAGAATTATTCCCAACAAGGATGGGGACAGCAACAAAATGCATTAAGTATATTAAAATTCTGCAGCAAAATATATAATAGTCACAATAAATGTGATAAAAACTCCAGAGTCTCAGTTCAATTCTGCAACAAGAAGAGTTCAGGTTAGGCTGCTTAAAGGAGTTTTTTGTTGTTGTTGTTGTTGTTGTTGTTTAAACCTGTTGAGTTTTGAGGTTGCAATTTAAGTGACCATGGTCTCTTCCCTGGCCTCGCAACAGTCTCCTAACTGGTATCCCATTCCTGCTTCTACCCTTGGCCCTCTACAGTCTATTCTTAACATTATAATAGATGTATTCTTTTGTTTACATCAGCTAATTTTTTTGTATTTTTAGTAGAGACAGGTCCTTGTTGGCCAGTCTGGTCTTGAACTTTTGACGTCAAGTGATCCTCCTGCCTTGGCCTCCCAAAGTGCTGGGATTACAGATGTGAAATATCACGCCCAGCCAGTTTACTTTTCATAATAAGTTTAATATACCTTATTTTTGTAAAAGTCATTTATTTTGTAAAATTATTTTTGCTAAATTCAGTATCTGATTACAATTTTTTCGTGTGTTTTTCTACGTAAATTTACAAACACTCAACTGTACAAATCTTAAATTACTTAAGTATGCCAATTGATAAGTCTGATAAGTATATATACTCAGATAACCCAAATCTCTATCAAAATATAGAACGTCCATCAATCCAGAAAGTTCCACCATGTCCTTTCTTTGTAAATCCAACAAACCACTATCTTCCTGCCCCAAGCAAATAGTATTCTCATTATGTCACCACAGATTACTTTTACCTCCTCAAAACTTAATATGAATGGAACCATACAAATATAAACCTTTTAACACAGGCTTCTTCAATTCAGCATAGTATTTGTGAGATTAATCCATGTTGTTGCAGATAACAATAGCAATATGAATATACCCCACTTAATTTATTCTTTCTCCATTTCCATTTTTCAGCTATTAACATTCCTTCTTTTGACAAGCTATGTTTCATTTGTCTTTGGTAAATCCCTAAAAGCGTAGAATTACTTGATTACAGGGTAGATACATAAGAAGAAGCTACCAGACCTTTTTCTAAAGTGATTATACCATGTTACACTGCCATTAACAATGTATGAGGGTTTCCACGTTCTAGCTAATACATGTCACGCTCACATTAACAAGAAAGTCCCAAGTGCTCTACATTCATGCCAATATATGATATCAGTTTTTTAATATTTTAGTCATTTTACATTTTAGTCATTTAGGTGTATAGAGGTATCTCATTGTGGCTTTAATCATTTTCCTAATGACTGATGATCTTGAATATCTTTTCATGTGCTTATTAACCATCAGTATATACTCCTTTGTGAAGTATCTTAAAATTTTTTTACCTTTTTAAGAATTGGGCTATCTTCTTACATTGAATTGTAAGAGTTCTTCATAATCTTCTAAGTACAAGTCCTTTGTCAAATATGTTTTGTAAATATGTTCTTCTAATCTGTGGCTTGCCTACTGAAGTTATTAGCGGTATCTTTTTTTTTTTTTTGAGATGGAGTCTCGCTCTGTTGCCCACGCTGGAGTGCAGTGGTACGATCTCAGCTCACTGCAACCTCCACCTCCTGGGTTCAAGCGATTCTCCTGCCTCAGCCTCTTGAGTAATTGGGATTCCAGGTGCACACCACCATGCCCAGCTAATTTTTGTATTTTTAATAGAGACGGGGGTTTCACCATATTGGTCAGGCTGGTCTTGAACTCCTGACCTTAGGTGATCCTCCTGCCTCAGCCTCCCAAAGTGCTGGGATTACAGGTGTGAGCCACCACGCCTGGCCAGTGGTACCTTTTGATGAGTGAAAATTTTACATTTTGATGAAGGTCCACCTGCTCATTTCTTTTTAATGGTTAATATCTTCACTATCTTGTCTAAGAAACACTTTACCCACCCCAAGGAAACAATCATATTTTCGTATATTTCCTTTCTAGAAGTTTTTTTGTTGTTGTTTTTGTTTTGTTTTGTTTTGTTTCCTTTCTAGAAGTTTTATGATTTTAGCTTTTGGGTTTAGGCCTATGATCTGATCCATTTCACATTAATTTTGAGGTAACGTGTGAGATGAAACTAAGCTTCATTTTTTTTCATATGGATATCCACTTGTTTCAATACCATTTACTGAAAACATTGTCCTTCCCCTAACACATTTTTTGAAATCTTTCTGGGCTCTCTATTGCATCCAATTGATCTATTTTTTCTGCCGTATGCAAGCACCACACTGTCATGATTCTGTATCTTTATAAGTCGGATTGTACAGTCCTTTAACTTTGTTATTTTCCAAGATTGCTTTAGATATTCTAGATTCTTACAGTTCAATTTGAATTTTTAAATCCGATTATTAATTTTTACCCAAAAAAAGCCTGCTGGGATCATAGATCAATTTGGAAAGAAGTGATATCTCAAAATATCAAGTCTTAGAGTGCATGAACATAGTATTTCTCCATTTGCCTAGTTCTTTAATAAGCAATGTTTTATCATTTTTAACGAAAACACCTTG